TACATTGACCTTTTCGTATATTTTTTTAATAATCAATGTCGTTAACCTTTACTCTTCCTTGAACTTAGTTTAGTACCTTAAAAACCAAATTTATTGATAAATTTCATTATTTTACCAAATTTTCATTACTTAAATGGCACATTTTATTAAAATTTTATTTTATTTACTAAAATTTCCTGAATTCTGAAAAGTGATAGACATTTTTTTGGGATATTGTTTCTTGTCTTCGTTCTACATCCTTTTTTTTTTATTGCTTTCACAAGACAAAAAAACTATATATCCTAGCTTTTCATATTCGGGCTTACATAAGTAGTGGGTGGGGTGGGGAGGGGATGGCGGTGAAAGACAGAATCTTAGGGAATGGGGACTTGCTTGTCCCGCGTCTGATGGTGATTCTGCCCCTGCTTATAAAACTGATATAGGCCTACTATAAACCTACCTGTATGCAAAAAAAAAGTCTCCACAAGTCGCGGGAGTGTCCCAGAAATCCGGACGGCCTCCCACACTCCTTGAAGAACCCCCAAGAAAATAACCCAACTCGAAAATTCATATAATATTTGCATGTTTTTAATACTTTATTATCAATTGTCTCATGGAAGTTAGTGTTGAATTGCATTACCATGCACAACAAAATACAACAAAATGTGTTAAGAAAACTCATTAACCAACTCTTTAGAAAGTGACCATGAAAAGATATGTAAATACCGATGTATTTTTTGTATGTTGATAATACTTATTGTACTCACTTTGAAATTTTAGCATTCATCCCCTGCGAGATATTATACACCCAGTGTAATTAATTCATGTAAAAAAAAAACTGATGTTACAGAGGATTTGCGTGCATGCTCACAGGGCGCTGCTTTTATAAAACTTAATCACTTTGTGGATTGCGCGTATCTTTACTACTTGGATATAAATTGTGCTTTAAGCAAGATTTGTATTTGCTTGTGTAAAATATGACAGCATTTGAGAAGTGTAACATTTAGCACGCATCCCATATGATATTTTATCGTATGTGAATTGGGTATTAGTTTAAATCCATGCTCTATGAGAGAACATTGACTTCCTGAAGAACAGGTTCTCCAGTTTAAGAAACACACAAACTGTTATGATGTTTCTACTCCCTTCTCAAATTTGTGTCCCTATTTTAGAAGCGCACACTCAAGAAAGCAGACTACCACAGAGTACCATAGTCGTGTCGTCACAACTCCAGGTGGCACCCTCTGGATGTTGGTTACCATTCATTACCCCTGAACTTCATCATCTTAATGGTTTAGAATAGGCTTTCTGGAATAGGCATTTTAAAACCTAATAGTTTACCATCAAAATGTACTAAAAACACAAGAAAACTCGCATTATATTACAGGTAGTTTATTGAACACACATTTAATCATCAATTAACATTTATGAAGAAAAATTCAGATACAACTTCTTAATAATTACTTTAGAAAATGGAATCAATGGTTTGTCAGTGGGGAAAATGGCGTCAGTTAAACGCATTTTGTGTCGCCGATAGCAATGGAGTAGTATCATGTGGTATCGTGATGTAACACTGTAGTACTCTACACATTAGCAAATTTGCTTTATGTCAGCTAAGGGAAACAGGTTTTAAGGCCTACAAACACAAATGTCAACCCAAGTAAAATCCGTGTGATGTTCTGTTGCTCTTTATAGCAAAATAGATATTTTTGTTATTATAAGATAAACATATAAAAACGACAACATCAAAAGTGATAACAATACCAACAACTACAGTAATATAATATGTTAATTACACGATAAAAGAGTATGAATATATACTGTAATGTGCTGATCTATAATTATAGTTTATAATAAATTATAATTTTAGTGTAATTTTAATGTCATAATTGAAAGATTTCAGCAAACTATTTTAGTGGTATTCTGTATGTTTTGGTTTCTGATTCTCTATTCATCTTGTGTTGGATTTCTTACTTTGAAAACCCACTTTAAGACATTTAGTAAAGAATGCAGAGCCAGGGAAAAAATTGTATGCTGTTGGAATTAAATCAGCAACATTCAATGCAGCGTACTGAAAGTCGCAAAATTCAAATTGTCATAGCGCACTCTATGCATGGAAATCCAGGATACGCCACTAAATACAGGAATACTTAAAAGCTACAGGAAATATGTTGATACTGTACAACATTCGTCATGCATTCCTTTTTCACGCTGTGGCACTTCGGATTGAGGGAAAGTCCCGTTTATGACTATGAGCAATGACCTTAACCAGAGGTCAAGGAAGGTATCGAAGTGTGCGTAATTTGCCGTTTGTAAACATGTCTTCTTGGTAATAATGTTTTAATTATTTATTTATATTTAGTTTGTTTTACACAATGGCTCTCTATAACTACAGTAATACACTAAAAAGACACAAGGTATTGAACTAGGTCCACCAAGTCCCAAGCTTAAAGTCCCATTCCCAGCAAAATTTCACTAAAAATAGATTTTTTTAGAAAAAATGCATATGCATTATTACTCTAATTATTATAAACCAAAGAAAAATATTGGTATAAATTTTAATTTACGAAAAATAATTTTTAAAAATGAGAAATACAGACTATTTCTCTTAGGATAGGAGATTACCATTTTCTCGACAAATTCTTCGTTACTAGTCAAATTCCGAGGTTGTAGATTGGAATGCTCTCACTTTTAAGTATACTTTATTCAGTCAATAAAGTGCGCCCTCTCTAATGAGATTAGTTTTTGTACTTCGCAGCTTGCACACTGCGGTCGATGGAGTAGGCCAGAGATATGTTTGTTTAATTGTCAAAATCTCAGTCAGAATCATTTTTTTAACAAATTTGAAATAATTCTTATGAAATTTTATATTTCACAAGTGTTGATACTAGCAACAGAAAATATCATGTTGGCCATTTTTATGTGTGATAACAGAACATAAATCGATCTAATGCTAGGCCTAGCTTAGAAGTGTTGGATAGGCTAATGTTTCCGGCGCCTACTATATTTCTTCGCAGACCTATCGCAAAATCAATAATAAAAAATTTATCCGCATTTATTTTTTGTGTGGTACACAAAAAAATCTAATTTCAGTCTTATTTTACATTTGTTTCATGTCTGGGAATGTCTAATAGTTAAACTAGCAATTTCATATTAGATTTATAAATCTTTATAACATATATAAAGATTTTTCTTAACAACTGAAATTTTACTCGGAATGGGGCTTTAAGAGTATGTTACGCTGCCTTTATCTTCAAAACGACAGTAGTTGGCCTCAAAACCTGAGGATTGTTAGACAGAGGGAGGCATTATCATTGTAATTGTCCATAATGAAAATTTATGTTTACGAAAACATTGAAAGTTGATTTTGCGAAATGTTAAATGCTGCCAACAATAAAGCATTTACAGTGGTTGGCATTGGCTGTACCTAGTGTAGCACAGTACTCCAAATGGCTGTGGATATAACCTCATCAAATTTACTGTTAATATCAGCTATATAATCGTTCATATTTCACCTGGGACCATATTATTGTTGATCAACCATATTTAGTACACTTTTACTAAGTGTTTTATTCACATGTAAGATATTAAAGCATCATACGTAATTACAGTATAACATTTTGTACTACAGTTTTTTGCTTCAGCTGACTGTGCAATATGTCAAGCTTGTTATCATGTTGGATTAATGCAGAGCTTCAGAACTAGAATCATATTTTGAGACTTAAGTTATTATCTTGATACATTGCACGGTCACTCTTTTATGACATTCAGTAATCAAAATGAAGGGATACTGTATGATTGCCTAATAAGTTATAGATCATTGACGGAATATGCTGAGGTGTAATATTTAATGCTTTCCTTAGGTACTATAGAATAGGGCAGATGGTAGCATACTTAACTTACATGTTAATATGTTTCATTCGTTTTAAATTCTCGTCAATCATAGTGCTCAGGCGTTTACAATGATTAACTTTCTTCACATGTGTATCTTCAGTATTTGCATTCAGATAGTAACTTACTATTTTTTTATATCTTTTTGTTTAAGTTTATAATCACTTTTAGATTGATACCTGTTAGACTCAATAATGTTTCATCAGACCTTTGTCAGTAAAGCATTGATTTCTAATAATAGCTGAGGACAGATATATTATTTTGTTTGATCAGATATTTCCATAGTTGGATATACACACATTTGTTTGACCAAACAGATAAGATAAGATGTTTGTTTTATAGTCTGATACCTGACTTTAGTCTGACACAACAAAACCAATTGTGATATTCCATAGATCACAATTCATTATTTAAATTAATTATTGATGTAAAATACAGACCAGTATAAAATAGTATAAAACATACTCCAAGTATTGAAATGTAAGCCATTGTGTCGGGATTCAATATTTCGACATTAATTATGTCATCACCAGGAATGGGAATGGGAAGGAATATTGTATGATTGCCTAATAAGTTACAGATCATTGATGGAATATGCTGAGGTGTAATATTTAATGCTTTCCTTAAGTAGAATAGGGCAGTTGGTAGCATACTTAACTTACATATTAATTCCTGATGATGACATAATTAATGTCGAAATATTGAATCCCGACACAATAGCGTGCATTTCGATACTTGGAGTATGTATACTATCTTATCTGAGTTTAATCAGTGGACCTTTCGGTTTTTTACAGACCAGTATCATCTGAATATATTTTAAAATTAAAATATATAAAAAATCATTTTATTTAAACAAATTGTTTATATTTAATTGAAATAATTTACCTACATAATACTATAGTAGAATAACCTCAATATATATTTATGTTAATTATGTATGGATGTATTTTAAATACTATAGAATGTAGTTCTTTCCTATTTTGTTAATGAAAATAGATAGTATCAATAAAAAATCTACGAAGATTTTAAAAAATTATAATTATATAGAATAAATCTACCATTAAGTCAGGAATGTATTTAAAAGTTTAACAGGATTGATATATGACAACAAATTTTCATCTTCATTGTAGAATTATAGTGCTTTCGTCAGGTGTACTACAGCTTGTGCGTCTGAGATTGGATCAGGCAGGAAGGTATCGTTGCCAAACTTCCAATCTAGCAGGTAAACGAAATGGTTCTATCATTACATTAAGTGTTTCTCCGACGCTAGCTCCGGATCTGCAACCGGTTGTTGTCTGGAGTCCAAAGGATGTCCATGTCCCTGTGGGAGGAGAGGTAGAACTGGAATGCCTAATTGAAGGACCACTGGACATGGAAGTAATATGGACACGTGCAGGTGAGTTAATGTTTGTTCATTTCGTTTTCATTCGTGCATGTCCATTTGTGTGCTCTCTCATCCATGTTACAATTATGTTAATTGATGCTTGAGTGATTTTGAGGACATTACTACATGTTGTGTAAAAATTATTTCAGATTTGTTTTAATGCTAATACATTCATTAATAAAAAATACAATCCAAATCAAATATTATGTCTTTCTTTTAAGCATAAATTATTTTAATATTAATTCTTTAGTTTTTCATGAACATGTTTTTTGGTACCATTGGCTATCTTAGAGAATTTTATACCATTAAACAACAAAGATTTTGTAGTGAATCTGTGCAATAGTAGTGACTGAATGCTTTTTCATTTTTTATATACATTACATACCTCATGTCGTATGGAATACCACTACAGTAAATCTGATAATGATAGGTAGGAGGTCAGAGGTCTATATACACCCTCAAATATGCATGTACATTAAAGATGTATTGTCAATCAAAAAAACAGGAAAATTCCATTAACATTTCAAATAAAATATTGAGTAGCTCATTTGCAAGGATCAATAAATGATTATCTTCCAATGAGAAACAGATAGAAAAAAACATAGTTTCACTGATTTGCAGACATTTTACTACAAAAATCCATTGATTACCACCGAGTTTAAGAATCCATGCAATAGAATAGGCTAATTAACTGTCTGGAAATAAACGAGGGATTTTTTTTTTTTAATTCAAATTTTTAGTTATAAGTTAATAACTTACTTAAAAATAGAAATTAAGCAATTCAAATGAGGAATTAAAATTTCATTTTTTTTTTATCATGACTGATACAATAGTACATGGAAAAAACTTTCATCACTAACTTACAGAAGTAACTATACATTTTTCCTAGAAGTGATCTTGTTTTGAAGATCTAAGGGAAAAAAGTACTGTTTTTTTTGTTGTTTTTTTTTCAAATAAAGTATTTTTAAGTCGCATGTTATTTGCTTCCTGTTCTTTAGTTATTCTGCATTAATAGCATTCTGCATTAACATTAAATGGTTTATACTGCAGTCAACCCAAAGAACTAGTGGTGTATGGTACTTGTAAAAGAGAGTAAGTGAGGTTGTAATTAGACTTGAATTTGTCAAAAGATGTTTATGTGTGAAATATGAGAACTGAATATAAGTCACGGTTTGATTCATGATCTTTATTATAGTGTCAATGTTATAGTCTTAGATATTAATCCAATTTCAGAGTTTATATCAATATATAATATATAAAATGTAATTACATGTGGTTTTAAATGACTCCCAGATACAAACTAATAGAAAATGAAATGCTCACTGATTAGGGGCATTCAATTTATTTCAAATGAATATTTAAGACATTCTTTTCTATAGTAGAAATGATACATGCGAGAGAAGAAATTTAAATGGGCTACAGACTTTAGTACAGCTTATTAATACTTTAAAAGGGTACTTTCGAAAATGGGTGTTTTTCCGAACCATAATGTCTGAAATAAACCAATTTTTATCTTGTGCCTGTCAAAAAGAAATGTGAGTATCTTAATGGAATAGAAAATATTTTTCCCTGTCTTGGAAAATACGGACAGTGGTGCATCCAGGAAGTAGTGTATTTTTTGACAGAGAGAAAATTGCTTTTTCTTCTACATTTTATTTTTTGCGGGAGTCACCAAACCCAAGACTACATGTGTTAAACAATCAGATAAACTAATACATGCATGTTGTAAGCCCTATATAGGCATAATGTTTTTGAATTTTATTTGAAATAATCACTTGAAATCTTTTGTTTTTTATAAGAAGCGTATGCCTTTAAATGCTCAGATCCATATTGCTTTGATAGCCAGTGAACATCCCCATGTTCAGTATCCTAGAATTGCCACTAATGGACTTTTGTTTAGTTATTTGGGGATGATGCATACACCCATCACACCCTACCTCCACCTTCCCCCTCCCCAATACAGGTCTTGATCGAAATAATGTAGTATACTGGATTAAAGAAATACAAATAATAATACATCTGATAAACAATTTTTTTTTTTTTGCTTTTGGAAATATAATTTGCTGAGAATATTCAATTCAATTTCTTCTTATTACTTGCATCACTGTTTCTTTTTCCTGTGGGCCCATTATGTTTGTTTTGTTCTGACTTACATTATTTGGACTGAGAAAATAATTGAAAGAAGTATTGAAATAAAATACTGCAGGCTTTTCCCATATTCTGTTTTGTTTCCTACTGATATCTCATTACTACTCTATCTTGCTCTGAGATGGCAAGTTCAAGATGGTCGATGGGGAACAGCTACTACTTTCTCACTTTTACCAACCTGTAGACACATTGAAATCAAAGCACTAGACATGATTTGCCATGTATCCCCAACAACAAACAATCAAGAGAGGAGTTGCCTACATTTCGTGAAATAAAGGAAATAAAAAAATTTTAAAAATTGGTGAGACAGAGAAAGTGCGAGAGGACGAGAAACTAGTAATTTTTTTTTTATTTGTCATATAATTTGTTAGTTTATTAAAAAGCAATCTTATATTGTATTTCATTATTTTGACAAGTAGTAGTATATATTTAGGCTGACATGTGTTTAATTTCTTAAGTCCTGTCTAGACTACTACATTTTATTTGATAAAAACCTTTGACATGTCTAAATATGGTCATGATGATATCACATGATCATTTATAGGCACATCATGAACACATGGTCGTACAACATTTTTTTCTCCAAGAAAATTTTATAATCTTTATCTTTTAAACAAATATAGTCATCTATTTATAAATAAATATTTGGGGGGAAAAAAGGGTTTTTTTTGTTATTTAATAATAATATTTATTGGGCAAAATATGCAGAATTAAAATAACATGTATTGGCTGGATAGGGAATGGGCGAAAGCCCGAACAAGATATCCTTCATATTATGAAATACACTAGTACAAAAAAAAACAGTCAAAATTAATCAGAATTATAAAACCATATAAATTGCTTAACTAAATTATTCTTAAAAGAGGAAACATTAACAGAGTTTTGAAGCTTAAAAAATTATTGATATCTATTTATATTATTTGTTGTACATCTATTACTACCTTGACATGTCATGTTTATTTTTTTGAAAGAAGAAAGTAAATTTTACTTTAAATGTAACTTAGGTTGTAGCTATAGGCTTATGATCTGTACAGATGGGCGCAATATAATTCTAACACATCTATTGCATTAAAATTCCCTCATATATTGTAAAACAACTTCAGTGCTTTTATTCATTTATTGAATAATTAATACAACTCTCGAATCAATACTATGTGCTTTAAAAATAATTAATGATCTCCACATACCAAAATCTTAGCAGTTTTAAGCTAGTATTTTAGATATATTTGAATTGCTACATATTATAGATTTAATACAGTAAATAATTAACCAGTTAAAATGTATTTTTCTCACCAATAAACACATTTAATTGATGCATAATTGATGCATAAATAATCACTATTTAAAAAGCTGGTAATCACTTGGAGGTTTTCATAGTAATCATCGAAAATTATATGTTTAATGTTTGTCTTATAGTAGGTTTATAACCTCTTTTTTTCCCCTAGATTTTTCCACATACAATATATGATTGATTTCCACTTGAGAATAATGATATAGCTCAGTGACCATATGTGAAATGCTAACTCATAGCAAATATGTTAATGTTACTGTATGTCCACGGATGTCCGTTCAGAAATCTACGGCTGCAAACCTACAAGCAATTAGCATTTGCCATGTGGTAGCCATTTTATCGACTGAATCTGGCATGCTTATCTGATTCTATATTCAACAGCATTTTAGTAAATCACTAAAGTTTTAAAATTAATGTGTAAATTTTGGAGATAAAATTAAAATTAAATTCAGATATTGATACTGTATTTAGATAGGATTTTAAAATTTTAATATTATTTTGGTAATAATTATTATGGTAGCCATTTTATATGAATCTGGCATGCTTATCTGATTCTACATTCACTAAAGTTTTAAAATTAATGTGTAAATTTTGGAGATAAAATTAAAATTAAATTCAGATATTGATACTGTATTTAGATAGGATTTTAAAATTTTAATATTATTTTGGTAATAATTATTATGGTAGCCATTTTATATGAATCTGGCATGCTTATCTGATTCTATATTCAACAGCATTTTAGTAAATCACTAAAGTTTTAAAATTAATGTGTAAATTTTGGAGATAAAATTAAAATTAAATTCAGATATTGATACTGTATTTAGATAGGATTTTAAAATTTTAATATTATTTTGGTAATAATTATTATGGTAGCCATTTTATATGAATCTGGCATGCTTATCTGATTCTATATTCAACAGCATTTTAGTAAATCACTAAAGTTTTAAAATTAATGTGTAAATTTTGGAGATAAAATTAAAATTAAATTCAGATATTGATACTGTATTTAGATAGGATTTTAAAATTTTAATATTATTTTGGTAATAATTATTATGGTAGCCATTTTATATGAATCTGGCATGCTTATCTGATTCTATATTCAACAGCATTTTAGTAAATCACTAAAGTTTTAAAAATTAAGTGTA